ATAACATATTAGAAACACCCTGTGATTAAATTTAACAAAATTACAATCTAAACATGTATTGTCAAAAGTTACTTGAAAACAATGAAAAAATACTTTTCAAAATAAAACACACGTGTTTGTTGTCACGGCAAAAACCACATGGCCGATATTAATTGATTTTAGTTGTGTATCGCTGAGTGTTGCAATTACAGACATCCAATAAATACTTTACGAAATATGAGGGTGGTACAATTTACCCGGCGGTACAATATACCGAACTCTCCCTACCTACTGCCTACCTTCAGTGGTAACATCAAGGTAATAATTAGTTAACTAAAAAGCTAGAAATAAGTAAAATTTTAAAAAAAAAAATAAAACCGACTTTTTAGTATAGGTTTTTTGGCGTCGGTTTTATTTTTTTTTATAATTTACAAGATACAATACAAGGACTATTGCTGTGAAAGTAAATGAAAGTTATCGTTTTATTAATTAAATGTTTTGACAACAATCAAGATTTATATTAGGTATTTTAAAGAAAAAAATAGTTCGTATGAGAAATCATTGCAGAACTCGCATGTGCGTAGATATGTACCTATTCTGTACGAATAGGGATTCTTTTGCTCAGGGGTCACGCACAGGCCTTGCGTGACCTCTCGGCTCTCACCTTCGAATAGGGCTTCTTTGCTCAAATACAACTCTCTCAAATAGTTTACAAATCAAAATCTAAACAATTTTCCATGCAAAGCCAATTAGATTTAATAGTTTTTGTTCGATACGTAAGTAATTGTATTTTGAAATAAAATCTGTATTTATGTAAGGTAATAAAACTTATTTATAGAGAGTACACTTTTTTAAAGTATTCTAGCCTTTCTAAGATTTTCAGTGGTCGTCAATCATGAATTGTAGGTAATTAGGAATTATTAAGTTTATATTTATTTTAGTATAACATTGAATGTTAGTAGATACTGGGAATGGGGATCTAATGAGGGTACCAAAGATTAAATTATTTCAAATTTTAAAGAAATATTTTTCCTTATTCCTAACTAAAGTGGACTAAAATCAGAGGGAGAAATACGTAAAAAACTATTCTCGTAGGTAGTGCACGGAATTGCACCGTTTAAGTGGAGTAGAGCTCAGATCGAATAATTCATATCAAGCTACGAGTGCCAGTTGGAAGCTCAGTGATCCAGAAATATGAAGTGCACACGATTCCGTAATTAAATTTTATTTGAAATATTTCCTACGAAATCTATTCCTTACTTTTGAGATCGGTTCATTCAATTTAGTGTTTTGTTGTGCTGGCGACTTAAACTGTAATTGTAGCAAGTTTTACCTACAATTTATTAACCTAGGTACTCGTACTAATAAATTATATGTGAATATTTATGAAGATGAAAGGATGGATGAAACCTAACAGTGTTATTGTTTACAGATAGGAATAACCTAATACATTAAACTCGTAGTATAATTATTATTACAAGCTTTTTATTACTTTCACATGTCTGGTGTCTGTCGTCAAATCTTGCAACTTAAAATTGACCCACTTCCCGGTTTTCTATTGAGCTGGAATTTTGCATGCATGTGTAAGTCGGATGACAATGCAATATTATGATGACACGGAGCTGATCTGATGATGGAGCTGGAAGGTAGTCATAGGAACTCCGCAATAAAACGACACAGGCCTATCGAGTTTGGGCTCGTTTAATTTGTATTGACGAGAACTATAATCCTGTATGGTAACCATTAGGGTCTGATGATGGAGCCGGAAGGTGTCCATAGGAAATTCGCACTGAAACAACACAACCTCTGTTTGACGGACAAATAATTGAAATTTTGTCATCTAGCCTATTGATCTCGACTAAATGTGATGAATTCAAGACTTTTAAACAAAGAAAACAAGCCATAGTGTGCTCATTTTATACCCTTTTGAAATGCTCTGTAATAGTTTATTACTTTACAAGTACTCCAACTTTTAATTGTTGCCAGTAGTGGTTACTTTTAGCTGTAATTTAAGTTTGGGTTTCTTGTAAAGATATTAAATTCCTTAGAGAAATTCTCAAAAAATTACAAATCCTTCTCCTGTAGGCCTAGGATGCGCGCTGTGATAAGCTTTTATCACGCCATTTTATCGATTATACGCGATAGGCCCATACATTTGTCGTCTAAAATAGTCGATAAGATTTTATCACGGCGCGCATCCTAGCCCGGCTGAGCATACTGGGGCTCTTCTCTTCATGCAAAATTTATCATAACCAAACGAAATCAATATGCGTCAGCAGAGAACCAGGAAAGCTGTCTTAATGTTTTGCTGTAATTGTATTTTTTTGTTCAAAATTTATGGTGATTAGTTTTGTTTAGAATTATTAGAAATATTATTTGTTTTGCCATAATTTTCCTGCAAAATTGTAAAAAAAAATGTATGCTAGCAAATTTATTATTTCTACCTCAACCAAATATAGTTTTTACACTGTTAAATATCTTTGTGCAAATTCTCTAAACAACAAAAGCCTGGAAATAGTAAACAATACATTATTTACATACATAGTTTTAATAATACATTTGAATAAATCACTTTATCAATGGGTATATAAACCAAAAAAAATACATCTAATGGTCTTCAAGCCATCAATTTCAGTCTCGTGTTTACAAAAAATTCAAATACGACGTAAAGAGTTATTTTTAGGTCAAATATAATGGGTCGTATAAACCACCGAGTGCCTTTTTCAACGACGTAACTCCAAGCTAACTTTAAAACTACTGAAGATGCCCATTTTTTAAATATTTAGACTTTTTCATCGCAAAAATTGAAAAATGTTTTCTCTTGGACATTTTTTTATAACTTCTCAAATAAAAAAGTTACGAATTTTTTATTAAAAAAAAAATCGTTTTTTGGCTCTCCTGAAAAGTAGGGTTTTGGTTTATACGACAATTGAACCTGAAGGTATCGAAGCTGGAAGGTGGTCACATGAACTTTGCAATAAAACGACACAATACCATCGAGTTTGGGCTCGTTTAATTTGTATTGACGACAACTTCAATCCTATATGATACTAGGGTCTAATTATGGAGTTGGAATGTGGCCATAGGAACTCCGCAATAAAGCGACACAACCCCGTAGACTTTGGGCTCATTTAATACGTCGCAAGTCGTAACCCTATCAAATGGGAATAATGTTCGTTACATTTAGTATGAATGTAAGTAGTTTCATTTTGATTAGATGAATAACCCATTGCAAAGGTGCACGAGCTGAGAGCTGAATATGAATATTATGAGGGTGTATAAAAAATAATATGTCATAATCACTAACGCTGCGCCTTAACCAAAATGTTTCAATAAATTTCAACTTTAACTTCTCAAGTTTGCATTTACTAAATTAAGGAAATATGGGACCTGTCTTTTCCCGCGGATTTAAACACTTGCGTGAAGTTCTAACCCAAACTGTTCTTTTCCTAGTCTATATACCTAGTAAGTTAACTGTACCCTTTTGGACACAAACTCACCGTTTGCGTCCACCTGTAGGCTAGCTTACGGCCACCCATTTACGAATAGTGTCTAAGAAGGAAATATGGAGAAAACGGCTGTTCAGTTATTGTTAATCAATAATATCTAAAGAGTTGTGTCAATGTGCTAAATACGATGCAATTTCATCATTGACTAAAGTTGCATTAACAATATAATCAGATACAGAAGATACAGAAGATTCACTTTATATTAATCAAATGAATATAAAAAAAATTACACTTTACAGAAGCGTACATATTATGTAGGTACCTACCTACTATCATAAATAGACTTTATCAATAGGCAGGCATAATCTATGGTCACGTGAAACTTCGTAAATATCGAGCGTACGATAAATGTATTGAAAAATACGCTTTGCTCTATTACTAATTATTATTCTTCTTCTTCTCAGTCGGTACACTCTTGTCAGAATGGTCGTGGTCATCATTGTGAATCACGATTCAGAGTCATGTTCCTCGTAATACGGCGCCATTCCTCGCGGACTGCAGCTTTCCGGGTACTTTCGCTAACCGAGCACTTAGTTGCGGCCCTGATCTGGTCCGTCCATCTCATTGGTGATCTACCACGTGGTCTGGTGCCCTCAACTTTTCCCTGCACTACGAGACGCTTTATGGAGTCATTACTGCGCCGAGATACATGGCCGAAGAAGGTTAAAATGCGTGACTGAACCGTGGTTGATAGGCGCTGTCTGATGCAGAGTTCTTTTAAATTTTTAATATGGAGTCATTGGTACGAAACTCGGTCCACGATATTCCCAGCATCCGTCTCCAGCACCACATCTCCAATGCGTCAATCTTCTTCCTATCGGTTTCACGAAGAGTCCATGTCTCCATGTGTCATTACTAATTATTTGCGGAGTAATAACTTAATTAATATTTTGCAGTAGCTACTTATGTATGCTATTAATTATTACCAAGACTTTTTTAAACATATTTAAGAATTTGCTTACACAAATATACAATTCGCTTAAATTAGATAAGATAGATGTCCTGAAAAGTTTTTCCAAAATTGATATGAGGCTGCAATTCGTTGCCTGCTGCTGTCTTTCCCGAAAACTATAATCCGGGCCTTTTCAAGGCGAGAATGAATAGGCACTTACAGGGCAGATATGTACCATCCTAGACTGCATCCCACCTAACATCAGGTGCGATTGTGGTCAAATATATGCCTTGTTATGCATTAAAAAAAATCACTGTAATGGTAACCTTCAAGTCCTTCAACTCAGGACAACAAAGATAAAGATGCTTCTTCGGTGGTCAGCGCAATCGCAGCGTACCTACTGCACTACTCTCTCGGTGTTGCGCGTCCCAAGCGGCGCCCACGCATGCGTGTAACGCAAATAAACGCCGAAAGAAATTAGCACTAAACACTATTGTCGCGTCACAATAAAAGTAGAAATTCGCACCATTGTTCCCCTTCCTGTTAAAATATTATAAATGACACCAACAAACTAGATTGCAATTCAAACGTTCTGACACCCTTTGGCGGTGACAGTTAAAATGAAGTTAGCAATCACAGTTTTTTTACTGACTTTCACCCAATTTAGTGATGGTAACGACGCCGGGAACAGGGTGGGACCCGGTCTCAAAGGGAGGGGTATTCTGAACGGGGTGTCTGTACCGAAATGGAGCAATGGGGGGTATACGAAGAAACCTAATCATGATTCGCAAAAATCGGAACCCAGGTTTTGGTCGCCAGTGCAGAAAGAAAGTCGATGTAAGTACCATTATGTATGTTAAAGTTTTACGACGACAGTTTGGGGATTACTTAATTTTCAGTTACAAGTATTTTTTATTAATAAGTTTCAAAGTCTTAGTTCGATACTTCACACAGATTTTCTGTTCATCAGAATTAAGACATTTGTTGCTAATTTCGGCAAAGCGAACGTTTATTTTATTATTATTAATTTGGTAACAAAATTAAGAAAATAATGTTCTTAATCATCCTTTTCATGATTCATCAGATGAGTTTTTGCAATGCTTCAGATATCGATGTGTTTCCTATTGATTTAGCAAAGTGCATGAAAGTTGGAAACATGCGAATGTCAGGCATCTTCTTACCTAGGTATCTATGCTATGTACTAAGCCGAATCATAATCCATTTGCCTCTAGTAGAGTTTAGGTATACTTAACTGATGTTGATAGTGTGGAAGTACATTTAATTTTAGGGTGTTTAGCAACTTAAGTTGTTCCCTTTAAAAACTTTTAATTCCCAGTTCTGTCCCTGTTCACCGTGGTGACTTTCCCTAACGGCGGGTGCGCGGGCGCGTCCGGCGACAACGGGACGTGCATGACTGCGCGCGAGTGCTCGGCGCGCGGCGGCTCCGCCAACGGCTACTGCGCAAACGGCTTTGGACTCTGCTGTATTTGTAAGTAGACTGAGAATACCTCAGCTGCCTGACCAGGTTATTCTCATTGCTAATTGCTCATAAGATAGGCTCCCTTAATTGATATTTATTGTCCGTGGTGCATATTTTTTCATATAGGTTAATAAAACCTTTATATTTTTTGTCACCTGTCATCCGCTTTGCAATGGAGGGAAGTCGAATCTTAATTTCGAACTCCTCCTTTGTTCTTCTGATTAATTTCGATGCGGGTTCAATGACAGTTTAACTTTCCCCCGGGACAAACTTGACCTTCATTGGTTGGGTTTTTATGGTGGTCAAGCTGTAGATCCTGGCTACACACGAGTTGCAGTGGTGGGAACGAGAGGTGGTAATAGTCCCGTTTGACCAGGTTATTCACGCAATCGATAGACAGAGGACACTATGCCAGAGAGTGGGATAATTTCCGCGCCATACCAAATTGTGTCCAGTTGTGTGTGTAATAATGTGCGTGTAAATTAGTATTTAACCTACCTATTTTATGGTTCTACAAGATTCTAATATTTCACCAGTCATGACATCATGTGGCAGTTCAACGTCAGAGAACGGCACCTACTTCGTGAACAATGGCTACCCTTCGGCCTTCGACGGAACGGGCTCCTGCGAGCTCACCGTCATCAAGGCACACCCTGACGTTTGCCAGATCAGGTAATAGAAACACTGAATAGAACACATCTATACTAATATTATAAAGCTGAAGAGTTTGTTTGTTTGTTTGTTTGTTTGGTTGAACGCGCTAATCTCAGGAACTACTGGACCGATTTGAAAAATTCTTTTTGTGTTGGATAGCCCGTTAGTTCCTGAAGGCTTTAGGCTATATATCATCACGCTAAGACCAATAGGAGCGGAGCACCAATGAAGAATGTTTCAAATCAGTGATTTTNCTTTTATTTTTGAGGACCAACAAGTAACGATCAGATATATTTTTTACATCTCAAATTTTTTTTGCGTAGTTCAAAAGAGGTTAAAATATAGATCGATTTTATTTATTTTATGTCTCAAAGAAAGAGGATCAATCATTAAAATAGATGACCGTTTAGATTTTTTTATTTGCCGTTTTTGCTAATTTAAAAAGATCATTTAAATACATGCCTTATTAAAAGTGCCTACCCAAAGTCATTATTCCACGCGGACGAAGTCGCGGGCACAGCTAGTTTAAATAATAACACTGATGATAATAATTTACTTTTAAAATAACTTTTACGTTCGATTTTTTGCTTCTTTGAAATTATCAAGCCCAATCAAATAAGGTCAATGAAGGTTCGCTCTACAGTACTTTCTATAGCGGAATTACACGTCATTTGCAATTCAGTTGATGAATGATTGACGTCATAGATTCTATTTTCATATTAAATCTACGAAATCGGGGAATCGCGTTTTGACAGGTCATAGAAAGTGTGACATCGATTGTTAGTGGGTGCCGGATGGTATATGGTAGGTGCCCTCATTGCTAGAATTCTTATTATGAATCTTCTTCGAACTTTTTTTGCGATTATACATAATATATTACTATACATTTTCAAGTTTGTACGGAACCCTCGGTGAGCAAGTTAAACTCGACCTGTTTTATTTTAAAAATATTGGTGACCGTTTTAAGTACAATATTCAACTTTTCAGCTTAGTAGCAGTTAAAAGTATTGTACGAAATAAGGATTTCTGATAACTTTGTAACAACCTAACAACGTTTTCCACCATAATATTATTTTGTTTATACTTCTATTCCTGGGGACTTGGTAAGTCCAGGGACGTAAGTTTGAATAAACTTCATTGCCCATTTTATGGGAAACAAAGTCAATTCACTCAATATGAGTTGGGAGCTGGACAGTGGTCTTCTTGGTCTCGATGTAAATAAATATTTATTATTTTTATATCGATAATTACGCCTGTTGCCCTGGTAGGAATCATTAATTAAAAAGCAAATTAATATAAAATAATTTACTTTGTATTTATGTCTATTTTATGTTACCATACCAATACGACTCCATTTCCTACACTTTCAAGCTAGAAATCAGATTTGCTACTTCCAAAATGCATATCATTCCACTTCCAATATATTTTGAGGAATCCTTTCCCTACTGTCAAAAAGCGAAATGGGACGTGAGTGTCTATATGGGTCTCAGTTCTAAGGGCCCTCGCCCATGGCGACTTTTTGTAGTGATGCTATCGCGCGTACTAAAGCCTGTTAGTCGCATTTCCAACGCACTAAAGAGAGAAGCGATGCCGCTACAGAAGTGCGACTGTATCGATGCAAAAGCGCAACCGTGTCGGACGACATCGGGAAGAGAACGGAGGGAGAGTTACTGAATCGCGTTTACATCGTGACAGTATTGCGTTTGCATCACGACAGAAGCGCGTTTACGTGGGCGAGGGCTCACAGCTAGCGACCGCATTGCGACAGTATCGATGCGAACGCGCGACAGAATCGCTACAAAAAGTCGCCGTGGATTAGGGGCCTAAGATCATCTTTCCTATTATATTTCACCTGCTTTTACCATCTCGTGTAGAGGCACTCACCGAGCTCAAACGGTGACAAAGAGACAAGGAAATCGTATCAATAAAATAAGAATAAAAGCATTCAGTGCATTTTATTCGTTGCCATCGAAATTTTCGACTTGATTCAGTTTTTTATTGATTCAAAATTATATACCCATTGTGGTCAATACACAGACAGTATGGTAACTGTCACGTTTCCATAGATCCATCGCTACATTGCAGTATGGTAGATTTCTATGTGTTTTGTATGAAATATTTTTGGAAGTCCTCCTCAACTGTTAAAGAAAAATAGCGACTATACGCTTTCGACATAATATAAATGACTAGCCACTGTGTGATAGCCCGATTTCAGTGACACAAGTTCGAACCCCGTCAACATCCTACAATCACAAGCATCATAGCTTAGCCGAAGAGGCAGCACAGTTGTTTTAAATAAATGAATAAATATCCTTGGACATTTTACACTGCGACGCTAGCCCCAAACTAAGCAAAGCTTGTACTATGTGTACTTAAATATTTTTTTTTGTAAATACATATTATACATAGAAAACACCCAGACTCGTCACAGAAATTAAAATTCATCATTTCAATTTCTGCCCGGCCGGGATTCAAACCCGGGACCTCTCGGCATACTTAGTAGGTAGTCCGTTCTGAACCACTACACCAAACGGCCGACAAACAAGCATTGTTCCATGTTTCTTTCTACACTTTATAAAATATCCTTTTTTGCAGACTGGACTTCAATCGGTTCAGCATCGCAGGTCCCGAGCCCATGAACCACGTCTGCAACCAGGACCAGTTCATCGTGTCCGGAGGGAACCCCATACCCACCATATGCGGCACCAACCAAGGAAGTCACAGTGAGTACCATGTTCATTCACACTACCTGATAATCCTTGACATACATACTGGCAAAATAGACCTGCACTTATTTTCATGAAACTGAAAAAAATACTAGTGACTTAGGTAAGGCACTTACCTACTCGATGATAGATGTTAAGGTAGACGTAGAGCAATCGTACTACCTACTTATTTTGAGGTTTGTTATTGCAGCATAATGCCTTGCTACGGCCCTGAAAGCGTTTTCATCATTTGCGATGAAGCATGAAATGCAAGAGAAAAAAACCGATCGGGATAATTTTTTGTTCTGACCTCGCTCAGTGCAGTACCACAATGAAAGGTTTTATATACTAGGGACGTAAGAGGGAGTCCATAATTATAGGCATGTACAATGTACATTATGTACAAGGACCATATACAAAGGAAATCGGTGGTTGGCAATACATCAGACTATGTAAAACATTTTGTTGCAAAACAGCACCTATTTGTACCACTATAAGACCCCACAATGTTTACCTTGAACTTGCCGTCGTCTGTACATAAATTCTAAGTAGGTATCTTGGAATAAACTTCCTGCCGCTGATTACGCTAACTATCTTGAGCAGCGGAACTGCACCAATAGAAATCATAAAATAAATGTAATTTGTTCCCAACAAATTGCTACCTCAGCCAATAACAGCAAGGAGCAGGCGAAACCAAAGCTGTAGAGGAAATAATGTTACCGTTTACTTATTTTTCTTCGCGGGAAGTCAATAAATACAGTTTAACGCAATATTGCACTCATAATGTTGTAAAGGAAGGGCGATATTGGCAGCCTGCGTCAACAACAGCAAGCGGAGATCTTTAATGAGGACGCGGCGGTCACTCAGGCGTATCCTTCACTACTAACAGTTCTAAAAGGAACGGTGTAATGAAATTCCAGCATCAGGATTATGAACTTATTGCTTAGCCATAAAGCATTTGCCACACTTTATGCATTCTGCGGGCAGGTTAAATGAATGCAGCCTGCACCTGTCAGTTTGCGTTCTTTGCTCGTGCCCGCACCGTCTCAGATAGCATCAACACAAAATTTACAGAGACTGACGATATTGCTCATAACATAATGCAGTTTGACCTAACCGCAGACAGCAGAACGCATCCACTGGGGCAAATAGTTCCTAAACTGACAATCATTAAATTATGTCGTCATGAAAATATCGACTTGATTTAGAAAAATTTAGCAACAAGTCGTAAGTAACGTAAATTGTAATTAAAGACGGCGGACAATGAACGCTTTAATGTGAACGTCGCTTGCAACGCTGACTCGATCGTTGTTAAGGAAATTAATATCATTTCACGCGTCAACGCGACGTCTATGTGAACGAGCTGTAATCGATGCTCGACTCACGCTAAAGGGATGTTCCCTTTCATACATACAGGATATTGATCCTCGTAACACACAAACGGTTGAAACCATGGTAGGTACTATTTTTTCATGTGATCATGGCGTTACACAATTACATTTATATAAAACGTGTGTTTGCATTACAGGCAACACATTTTACAAACAGAAAGTACTTAGCCTAGGCGCAGACCACAGATTTTTAGTTAGCCGATAGTTGGGTCGAGCTGTTAATGAGTATGGAGATGTATGAAAGTGCGCATAATTATTATATGCCGATTTGGTATCGGCCAATTTTTCATACAAATTAGAATTGGGCTCAACTATCGGTCAACTAAAAATCGGTGGTCTGCGCCTAGGCTTACCAACCAAAGTAAACAAACATCAATTTCATAAAATCTTATTCGAGTGATATTCTGTGATGAATGTTGATAATTATGTCTATAGTGTACGTGGACGCGGGCATCGGAACCACCAACCCAGTGAAGCTGACCTTCGTCACCAGCGGCAACTCCTTCGAGAGGATGTGGAAGGTCAAGGTCACGCAAATACCCTGCAGCACGATATACAAAGGTAATTTCATTATTCCGAACAAAAGATCTTTTTCCAACTTTTCTAGAAAATAATTAAAAATCCCCCTCCATAATCCTATAATTAAAGCATCGAAAGGTATAGAGGTGGAGAAAACCTACAAATAATAGCTTTGCAAAAAGGCACTAAAGGTACTTATTATCTCTTTGATGTTTTTTTTCTATGAAGATACTTAATCCTTATGACAAAGGATGCTATAAAGTAAATGATTATTTAAAAAATATTTTTGAAAAACAAAATACCCAACTGCGTTAAAATGGATTGAAAGACATAAACAAGACAACTCAGTGTTCACAAAATAATGTAGTCAGAGGCATCAATGCCTAATTCTTTTGTTAGTGATATGTATTTAGATACATACTCGTACATAATATACCTAATGTCGGATAATGACAAGAGTGCGTGGACTTTACCTGCCTAGGTCGCACTTACCTGTCAAGTAAGTTATATAAATTGCTGTATCTGATTGAAAAAGAGGCTGACAAAGTGACTGAGTTTCTTTCACTACTTCTTCTCAGCACCAGCCCGTATGTTGTCTCGAAGTGGTGGTAGGGCAAGCTATATTTGGGACGTAGTAAGTGCCCTGGAAAGGGCCTATGCACAAACTATTTGAATTTAATTTTGTGTTTATTACTGCAGTCGTATATACTGAGGGATGTTTGAAACGTAATGAATGGTTCTTGTTAAGACTTTCATCACTACATAGACACATATTGGTGTGTGTTACTAATTTTAGTTAGAAAAAAAAATCTGCTGCTTTTTTACCATTAGTTCATTTTGTCCCAACTGCAAGTTTTTATTGTCCATTACATCGATGCTTTTTTAGCTGATGAAGGTTGCCTCCAGTACTACACGGGTGTGTCGGGACAGCTGCGCTCGTTCAACTACGACCCTGCTTCGGGGCTGCAGCTCAGCAACCAGGACTACGGCATCTGCATCAGGATGGAGAGGAACTTCTGTGGCGTCCAGTACACCGCGTGTCCGGATAATGGTAAGTACCAGATAGATTGACCACTGACCAGTCCTCGTGATATATTTTTATTAATCAGTCCTACCAAGCAGGCAACCTTAAGCAGATCAGTAAGGGGGGTAAGATTTGTTTGCAGTCTCTGAAGGTTGCCCCCTTCTGGCCTCAACATTCAGTCAGTAAGTGTATTATTTTGCAAAACTGGTAATTGATAGGCTGTGTAAAAAACTCAAAAGGCTTTTGTTTTAAAAAAAATGTATGAGACCCTAAAAGGTGAGTGAGCCTTTGGACATGTTCGGCCTTTAGTGTTGTCATATTCCTTTTTCCAAACATCGCATCCGAAAAAAGAAAACGGGCGCTGCCGCGCTGGACGGAAAATCATGCGTTAAAAAAATGCATAAGCAATCTAGCTCATCATGCCGCGATCGCTCGGGGCTGTTCCTGTCGACTTCTCTTTTGTTTTACCTTGGAACGTTGCAGATAGGGCGACAAAATTCCATTTGTGCAGCGCATTGCATTTTAGAAAACTTTGTTTAAAAACAAGACCTTGAAAATCTAAGCTTTTAGTTGCTGAATCTGCTAACATTTCTACAAGTGCTACAAACTATTTAACCATAGTAATTTAAAACAATAGTAACAGGTCATGGTCCATAGTCATTTATTCCATAAACTACATAGTAATCACTTTCTCTTAATAATACCTATAGGTACTAACTATAGCTATGGATAAATTAAGTTCTCGGTGCTTTTACCACAGAATAATAATAAGTACTCTTTTACTACTATTTGAAGCATCCTTACAACAATTCTACTTGCAAGAAATTACAAGTGACGGGTTTCAGGCTACGCGGATTCAATAAAAAATCATTGTCAATAATACATACATGTATAACTGTCAATAATACATATAACTCACCACTTGAATGTCGTAACTCAAACTTGATATTGGCTCCCAAGTAAAGGTCAAAGCTAGTAAACAGTATCTGATTAAAGATTTCAATCAGAAAACATACAAATGTCCAATTCGACTACAGATGAAATTCAAAGTGATCAAAAGTTTATCGTCCATAAGTATTTCTACTTCATGACCTAATTTAGAGAGAATTCATCATCATCATCATCATTGCAGCTATAGGACGTCCACTGCTGAACATAGGCCTCCCCTAATGCTTTCCACGTTGATCGATTGCGTCCAGCACTTCCCTGCTACCTTTACGATGTCGTCGTCGAGAGCATTCCTATTCGGTAAATGAATTAATTTACAAATTGAATGATACAAGTATAATTAAAACTTGTGATAATATTGGAAACAAAATAAAATTACTACCTATGTTACCATAAAAAGCTTTTTCTTTTTACTTTCTAGAAAACCATCGAGCAAACGTTCCTTTGCACAGATTTGCTGTGCATTGTACTCGTACAGATGGGTCCTAGAACCCTCAAAGCAGTCCTTTCAACACTAGTTCCCGCTTTGATAGAAAGTGACCATAAACCGCTTAGTTCAGCATAAGGGGCTTTGTTAACATAAACCTATGACGGCTTTACAAACTCCTCCGCGACGCATCTCCGATAGTTTCAAGCTATTTTAAACTCTAGCATTTGAGGCTTAAATCCACTTTCAAATGGATCCTGCTGGGGACTTGGAATATCATATTACTAGACGAAACGATATCGCGTCACAAAGCGCAATTTACAGCGAACGATGCAAGCGGATCGTTGTGACAAAGATCTGTGAGGTATTGCTTTTGCAAGGGCCTCTGTCTATATCGANTAGGAGGTGCCTGGATGCGGGCGGCGCAGGACCGGATGTTGTGGAAATCCTTGGGGGAAGACCTTTGTCCAGCAGTGGACGTCATTCGGCTAAAACGAACGAACGATGATTGAAAAAAAAAAAACCTATCTGCGTAAAAATGAACAGAAAAAGATAAAAACAAGACAACTTGTTCACAAATGCAGATGTAGGCATCATCAGTGACTAAATGTTTTGTTGGTGATGTGTATTTGATGCCTCCAACTGCATTTGTGAACACTAAGTTGTCTTGTTTCTATCTCTTCTCTTCGTTTTGTTAATGAATACTCGAATGCAACCTCTACTTACATCAGCTTTCAATGTTAAAATTGTCAAGTTACAATAATATTACTGTCGTGTTTATTCTTAAATGTACCTTACAACATACATGACATTCCATACTGTGAAATTTCAACATTGTAAGGTACAGTCAAGCTCGTTTTTTTAATGTAAGGGACATGCTATCTTTTAAACTACCCATTTTTCGAAAATTAGGCGTTTATATTATGAAAGAACAGAAAATTCTAAGAAACTTTGCCATAGAAACTATTTAAATCGTAACATCACATAAAAAGATATTGAGGTATAAAGAAAAAAAAAATCGTTTTTTGGCTCTCCTGAAAAGTCGTGTTTTGTCCCTTACAGTAATTGATATTTCCACTATCGAATGCCTCTGTTGTATTTCTATGATGTGATATAACTTAATATCAAATCAAGGGTTAAAGGTTTTCTTGTTGTCTATTATAATATTTTAAAGATTAAATCAATTCTATCTAACTGGAAATCAAACCATTGCGTTTGAAGTGATTTAAAAGGCCACAGCTATCGAGCAATAATTAATTTAGGCAAGCTTATTATTATCGAGGCGAATGAAAAATTTATAGGGTATTACCTATTGGCAAAAATAAACTGCGTTTAAAAAAACCGTCTTTAAAAATTGAACTGACTCCAAAAAGTACCTACACTGAAAAGTAGAACAATAATTTTACGTTATTTATTTAATTAGGACAATTATTATGACCATGATTGATATTCTCGGAGTAATGACATAGCAACTAATATTATCAGTGGGATAACAAATAATAATATATTTTATGGCTATCGTAGACTTCCATCTAAAAAAACCTTTCTGGCTCTGATGTACGAGCAGCTGTAATTAAATTCAATAGCCAAAAGAAAAACTCGATGCCACCAAAGCTTATAATGGATTTTTAATGCTGCTAGTTTTTACTTAATACTGTAACTAATACGAGTAGGTTTCTATCCACTTTAATTATTTTATAAACATTAAATCAGATTAATTAGTCGCTGCTTTAAATACATGCCCCTTAAGCAGTCGAGGTTTAATGACGAGCGAATGATATTTTGATCGAATTAAAATCGAGTCTATCTTCTAACCCATTAGTAATTTGACACTGAATTAGACATTCCTAATTTGGAAGACACATTTGCTTAAAATAACATTGCTTAGAACAATTTGACATTCACAATAAGTATTACATTACAGTCTCACGATAAATCATTCACATGATCTTAACTCTGCCCTCAATTAGCGCCCCCTACATTTGGTACACAGTTCTTAAGGTATTGGCAGTGGATTTGTCTGTCTGAACCACGTAAGAGAATACTTGCAACTTGTGGCAAGTTTCAGTGCAAGTTTTCACGACAGGTGTGCGGCGGAGCTTTTCATTCGGCTAGTTTTACGTTGTACACTTAAATACTTTTATCAAATAGTCATCCGACTTGAAGTTTACTTGCTGCTTAATCTTTCACGTAATAAAGTAAAAAAGTACCTACTTTATACGTGGTCATAAAGAATGCTTCGGCAACCATTTTATGAGTGAACTGAGATCACTATCTCGGACGCTACGTTTTCAATCTTTTACCCGTAAAAGAATGCTGAACGTTGTATTCAGTACAATGTTCTCGTCCTATTACACAACTTATTAAAATTTTGTTTCCCATATCGAGTTGCCCAATGTATGAGTGAAGCATTTTTTTCTCTGATTGGGACGTACAGTCGAACAAGCGTCTTTTCGCGCAAGCGGTCATACGCGCAAATAGATTTTCGCGCTTGTGTCTTCGTGTAAGTGTCTTTCGTGCGCGTATCATCGCACAAGCGTCTTTTCGCGCAAGCGTCCATACGCGCAAATGGATTTCCGCGATTGTGTGTCGCACAAGTGTCCCGATACAAAATACGAATTGTTTTGATGAAGCGCAGATTTTCCCATAACGCATCATACTAAGTTTTATTTTGGCGCAATATTAAGTAACTACAAAGCCTAGTATTGTATGGACACGGTTCATCATAGGGTTCCATTGTGAACGGATTAATTAAAGCTTGCGGTATCTGACTTCCTGTGTGATATGCCCTAAATGAATTGAGGGCATGGCAGATAATTAACAATATAGCAAAGAGGATTAAGTTTGGACCTCATCTGTCGTTATCTGCATTGCACTATAGAGCAGGCAATTAGTATTGGTTTACAGAAATGTTATCAAGGCTCGACAGCAAATTGACAGTTAATTGTGCTTCTCAGCAGAACACATGCATCGATTAGCGACAGTAGCATATTTAGTTAAAGCTTTAATTTATAGGTCAGTCAAAACTCATAATCGGTCAAAACCACTTTTTTTGACTGATTTTTGCAGTCAAAAGTGGTTTGACTGTAACATATACATAGATTATACCGTGTGGTGACGGCAGAGTAGAATACATTTGTCACCAACCCCTACTCTTCCCACGGGTGTCGTAAGAGGCGACTTAGGGACTACACATCAAACATCAATCAGCAGCAGCGCTCTCTGAAAAACATCAATCTTTTAAACTGCGATCTCCAACCCGCCTGCCAAGCGTGGGGATTATGGCAAAACCCTCCACTATAGTGGTGGAAGCTTAGTCCAGCAGTGGACTGAAAAAGTTGATGATGATATACATAGAGCACGCCAATTGCGGTTATTAGGTCACTAAGGCCAATATTACGAAACAAGAATTAAACTTTGATTTTTAAAATACTTCTATACACGTGGTTGCTCTGTTTACTCACCTTTATTACATTAGCTCTGATAGATGAGTAATTACAGGGTGTTGATTTCAATCCTCGCCATATTTAGGGAGTTGATTAAGTAGCTTATTCTTATAGTTTGAGATGCGACTCTTAACGCTAAAAATTACATAACTATGTAAAAGAGCTGTTTCATCTTAACTGACTGTTAAATATTTGCAACAATATTT